CCAGTGTCACTTCGTTTCTAGAATGGCCTCAACCCCAGTGAGGTATTTTTCGAATCGGTGTGTTAGATTTAGAGAACTGGATAGGATGTTCTTCAAAAGCGATGTTGTGATGTGGAGAGGTGAATTACCATCAAAAGACAACATGCAAGTCAGACATAATTTAGATTTGCATTTTTTTTAAAAATAGATTATCAGTCAAGGGATAACATGTACACATAACCAGATGATCTAAAAGTGACGTGGGCGCACCCCTTGAACAAAGACTCACTCAGAAAATGTCACAAAGTAAGAATTTCAGCAACTTTTATCAGAAAATAAGGTCTTTCTAAAGTTGTAACATAAACTCAACTCAACGATACAGACCTGTTTAGTTACGTGACTCCTTTTAAAGAGGGGCAGGTGTAACAACGCCAACCTGTACGGTCATTTTGTTTGTCTGGCTTGATTTATTGGCTCGTGATAGAGGACCTATATACCTCTTGTTATACACTTCATGGCTGGGCTAAGGCGGAAACAAGAGGCTATTTCATAGCTTATCTGAGGTGATAGCAATCTATGTAACAGCAACGAGGTAAAGATAGCCTGTCAGGGAGTAATAGTGTCCCTTCATTCAGTTTATTTGATCTAAACGTGACGTACCCGTTGCCAATTTATACATTATCTTCGAAGTGGGCATTTTACTGTCGATATTTGGTCAGATAAAGATGGGCGAGAAGAAGACAGGATTATTAATTCTTCTAAAATATTTTTTTAAAAGCAACAACCACAAAATTCTGTTTTGAAGCTGATTAGGTATCTAATATAATAAGATTTTTCTATGACATCTATTTTATTTTCGAAAATGGAATAACTCGTTAAAACGTAGTCATTTTGCACTCCTAACAGTCGTAATGCGATATTTCTTAATCCTACGCATACGTTGGTTTAAATGTGTGTTGGTATCAAGAGTGTCCGTTCGCCGCACACGTACACACATACATACATACACACACACACACACACACACGCACACACACACACACACACACACACACACACATGGAGAGAGAGGCATACACACAAGCGCAAGAGGGAGACATGCACACCTACTCAGACCACTCAGAGAAAAGG